CCCCAAAACCCCAAAACCCCAAAACCCCAAAACCCCTCATTTGTAATTTATTATAGATCTTAAGAAATGATGTACCAACATTTATTCTCTTGTATTCTCGATATACAATTCTGACACTGCGTTAGACTCTTTAAGGATTATGTCTGAGATAGTATCAATATTGTAGTTGTAAATAACCTTCTTGTTCGTATCAAATTCATCTTCTATGATTTCAGTAATAGGCTTATTTGTGTTAAAGAAAAGTTTATCAAAAGGATTCGGGAAGAAAAAGATCCCACCCCTTGAAAATGCATCTGGTATTTCTTCATGACAACATCCGTATTCAGGGATTTCTATATTCTTCCTGTCGCTGTAAATAATAAGGTGCTTGAAATAGATATTAGTGCAGTGAGGGTAATTCTCTCTCCAGAGGAAACTCTTGGACTCTTTGAGAGCCTCCTCTCTTTCTTGGCTTACAAGTTGGTAATCACCTTCAAAATTCGTTCCTTTTAACTTTTTACATATGATAATTTCTGGAATTATAGCATTCTTTACAGAACTTCTTAGTGAGATTATGAAGCAAAGTCTGAAAAAGTTGATAGGAATTCGTTTTCAAAAATCATCATAGATTATTTCAAGATCTTGAGTAGTGAGCTCTGGAACTGTTTGAGTCATTGTTCCCTCAAGATGTCCGAATCTCTGGCTGATAGATTCCCAATGATTGGAGTATGAGACCACTCCGAAGACGAATGTATATATCTTTAATGTACCTAAAGTATAATTAGCAATATGAAGAGTTTTAGCTTTTGGATGTACAGTAAAAGATCTTTGAAATTATTAAATTTATAAAATCCCAAAAACTTACTTTTATAACTCTCTTCCTTAGCGAAGATTATCTGTTTTGGGTATATAACCCTATCTGGAAATAGAGCATGGGAGAACTTTCTGTAGATCACTCCTAACTCAATATATGTAGACCAGACGCACTCGACAATACTGCATTGGAGTAACTCCCAGTCGGCTTCGAATTCAGCTTCTAGAAGTTTGAGGGTGAAGAACTTTTTAAACTCAAAGATCCATGTTTCTGCTGTGTTATACTCAAGACCATATTTTTGAGAAAGTCTTTTAACAAGAGTTTCTTTTCCATAAATATGAGTGTTGACTTTATTTCCAGAAGTTATCAACTTTGACTTTACTAAGGTCTGGGAAGCCAACAGGGGCTTCGTTTTTAATATAGTTCTTTTTCTTCCTCATGTACTCTCTCACGTAGTTTTCATTTGATGGTTCGAGCCTGATCTGGTTTGAGTAAGAATCGATTATGTTATTCGCTGTCAATCCAATGGAACTGTAGCAAAGAGATTTAGTCGCAATGCAACATTTTGATATGCATTGATCAACAATGGTATATTTCTCAGATACTGGGACATAGACAGTTGATTTTATGTCAACAATATAACTAGCATCCTCATAATGAGGCCAGACTAGGGGGAAAGGATTTAGAGACAACTCAAAGCATTTCAGATATTTCAGAGTCAGGCTATATGTATGCTTGATCTTAAGATCTGGAGGTAGGTAGTCTTCTTGGATAACTGGCCTATCTAGTCTTGTACCAAAAATCTCTTCTCAAAATCCTTCATAGATAGTTTTATCAGGATCATTTTCGTCTAAAGATTAATTAGGGAAAGTATACCATAAGGAATATTTAGGCTAAGTAAGATTCACCAGATTTGGTCAATCACTGGTGGAGCAAAGAGTCCAATCTCATAGTTTGAGTCCGAAGGAGTATTATGTAAATAAATTTTATCTGTATCTTCACTCTTTCGAGTCTTCTTCGTTTTAAGCAAGTATTTTGTATTAAGAAACATAAATTTATTTGAATTCTGAAAAGATTATGTGAGCTCATTGCGGATTGATGAAGTCGGTATTATCATTTCACTTTATTTTAAATTAAAAATTACCATTCTCATCATTATTATTTCTTCCACTAAAGTTGAGATTAATCGATTACCTGTCGGTTCCACATCAGAAGATTTTCCTTGATTCCAATCGAACTGTATAATCCGGTTGTAATCATCCATCTCCATTCCGACTTCTCCTAGAAGAGCAGTGTAGCTCATACTGGTGTCAAATCAGCAGCCCATATTTACAATTATTTTTTTATTATTTTCAAGATTATCAGTTTTACAAGGGGTTTTGGGGTTTTGGGGTTTTGGGG